TAGTCTATAAAATCACAATTATTTCCTTAATATTCAGGGGCATAATTTTTTTACAAAATATATGTACTAAAATACAGCTGTTTATCAGAGACAGAGTCTTTTTAATGATAGCATCCCAAAATTGTACCTCCTCCCCAATGCATCTGAAGTTTATACTGTTTATCCTCATGCTCCTGCTGACTGTCACTTTATTTTCTGCTATATTGCCTGGCTGACTTTCTGGTTGGCGTTTAGCGATTTTATTGATTGGGTTTTAGCCCTGATGGGCTTACTGGAATTTTATTGTATTTTTTTTCTAAACATGATGTCAGGTGTCCTGGGGAATTGAATTGAAAATGCACAGTGTATGTGTAGACAATTAAATTTAATAACATAAAATAAAATATTTCCCAACCCTGCTGAACACTTTTCAGTAGTGGGGGAAAAATCATATGTATTTGCTCCACAATGGTGACCCACTTATTTATTTTCCCCCTGAACAGAGTAGAATAATACGTGCAGCAAGAACCTCAGTTAATGGTTTGACCTGACAACTGACTTTTCCCTTTACAAGGAAAGACCTAGTTGGCAAACAGAAATTAGGGATCATGTAGGAGGTCAGACTGTTTAACTCCAGGCATGCTCACTATTCTGAGCATAGAAATAAAGATGAACAGGAAGAAGCATAGAAAATGTGTTCCTTTTATGTGGTAGGACGCAGTTTGGGTAATTTCTATTTTAACTAGTTAACTAAATTCTTATTCTAGCAATTACAGAACAATTAGTACCATGGATGTTCAGGGTTATAGAGATACAGATCTCTATAATTATGGGTATGTGTGAATGTCTTAGACAGCTTTTATTACTGAAAACTATCCTGTGGATTTAGTGGATGATCTAAGATGATGGTGCAAGTGTAGAAAACTACACTGACAAAGGAAAAATATGTAGAATGTAACTATAATTTAAAAGTTGTCATCCTTTTGTGAACAGCCTATATCTGGTGTAAGGCAAAATAAGCTAACACTAAGAATGAAATGGCTCTCAGTTTCTCTGAATCTGATTAAATATTTCTTTGTGAAAGATGATTGTAGAAAAATATTTTCCATCTGTCCAGTCAAAAATAGAATGGCACATCACTATGAAAATATAGTTTTCCAGAGGGAGGATGTCAATGCACCAGCCCACAGCTCCTTTGGCAGATCATGGCACAGATTCTACTCTTCGCTACAAATGAAATTCATTCATATCAGATGCTTGGATTTTGAACAGACTAAACATTTTTGTGGCTAGTGGAAGGAAGTGCAAACTGTTCTGTATATCATCTGGTCAGTAATATCAAAGGCTTTCATGTTTTGCTCTTTTAGAAGTAACCAATGTTATCTGCTGCTTGGGGTCTGAGTAAAATGTCTTTGTATGCTTCTTCCATAATTTTGTTGTCCACAATATCAATTGTTGGTAATGATGTTGGATAGTACCTAATAGTTTTGTGATGTATTACATTCTATAAGTTAGTAATCTGAACACTTGCCAGTTGTTGGATAAAATATTTATTTATTTTGATGCCACCTATTTAGCTTTGAGTATGATTTATTTCATAAAGCTCCCTGGTGGCACAGCAGGCTAAACTGCTGAGCTGCTGAACTTGCTGATTGAAAGGTCAGCGGTTCAAATCCAGGGAGTGGGGTGAGCTCCCACTGTTAGGCTCAGTTTCTGCCAACCTAGCAGTTCAAAAAACATGCAAATGTGAGTAGATCAATAGGTACTGCTTATGTGGGAAGGTAATGGCTCTCCATGCAGTCATGTTGGCCACATGACCTTAGAGGTGTCTACGGACAATGCCGGATCTTCATCTTAGAAATGAGCACCACCCCCAGAGTTGGACATGACTAAACTTAATGTCAAGGGAAAACCTTTACTTTTACCTATGATTAATTTGCTGTAATTTCTTCAAGACTAGCTAACATTGAGTATACTCTTTTCTGTAATAAAACAGACCTGGCCTTTCTCATCTTCCCAGGATGTCTATATAGATCCTCATTGCATTTTATCTGTGGATGTGCCACTACTTTACTTACTTTACTTAGGCGATCCCTCGTTGGACGAGTAAGATGGTCTTCCATTATGGATTTCCTTGTGGGTCCGTATGTGGCTGTGGAGCCCTATTCTTGCTCTGCATCTTCTTCCGCAGTGAGGGCATTGGTTTCCAGGTGGAAGGCGGTCCCGGTCGGGGTTGGCTTGACACGCCTTCCTCCTGGCACGTTTCTCTCTTTCACCCTCCACTCGTGCCTCCTCAAATTCTGCAGCACTGCTGGTCACAGCTGTCCTCCAGCTGGAGCGCTCAAGGGCCAGGGCTTCCCAGTTCTCAGTGTCTATGCCAGAGTTTTTAAGGTTGGTTTTGAGCCCATCTTTAAATCTCTTTTCCTGTCCACCAACATTCCGTTTTCCGTTCTTAAGTTCAGAGTAGAGCAACTGCTTTGGGAGACGGTGGTCAGGCATCCGGACAAAGTGGCCGGCCCAGCGGAGTTGATGTTGGAGGACCATCGCTTCAATGCTGGTGGTCTTTGCTTCTTCCAGCACACTGACGTTTGTCCGCTTGTCTTCCCAGGAGATTTGCAGGATTTTCCGGAGGCAGCGCTGATGGAAACGTTCCAGGAGCTGCATGTGACGTCTGTAGACTATGTTGTCTGCATTTCACTCTCAAGTTTGGCTGGGGTGAAAGCAGCAGTACAAATTCTACTTTTTCCCATTGAAATCAGACATGCATGGGATGCATGCAGGTAAAGAAGTATATATGTATACACAAATACATTTCCACACACACAATGCACAATATATATTACTGCATTCCTCCCTCCCTCTTTCTCCATGTATGTATTCTATTTCTTCTGAATAGAAAAGGTGCTTTGATTTTTCTCTTAGATTAATTAACTAAACTATACACCAAATGTTACATTATAATTAACTCAGAAGTTAATTGGGTTCATATATTGTTACTTCTGATATATCAACTCCCTTCAGGTACTTTTCCTGTTTCCTGTTTATTGTTGTCAGAAGCATTCATCTCAGTAAAACATGATGTATCTGGCTGCCCCCATTTCCACCGGAGAAACCAATAATGTAATGTACAGTTCTGTCAGATATAAAACCCCTCATTTTTATATTACATTAGTATGAGACTTGCTAGAGAAGTCTCTCAACACACTTCTATGTCAGCAAGTCCAACCAAGATTAATGGAAAATGTATATACAATTGTTTAGGGGAGCAATATCTACAGTCTCTGGCTCAAATCTATTGCCATCTATTGAGATATATGAGCTAATAGTTGTGTAATTCCATCACATTATATGTTTCCAAAGTCAGGGCTGGTTCAAGCATCTGTCAGTCCTTCTTTACAGTATTCATCACATTTATGATCTTCCCTTTTCTCATAGTCAGTGTACTATCACATTTTTCTATATAACAGTGCTGCATAAGCTATGGAGCAACTCCAATTTGCAGATAAGACCAAAATAATGTTTTCAATATGTGCTTATTACTTTTATTCTAATACCTGATCATAAGATGTCAATAGAGAAGCATGTATATTCCCAACAGAAAAAAGGAAAGGATTTTGTTTTTAGCACGAGTGAGTAACTTATTGCCCTTCCTATGTTCTTAGGCTGTAACTCTCACCAGCACGTCAACCCAAAGCCAATGGTAAAGAATGATGACAGATGCAGTCCAACCACCTTTGGAGGTCCATAAATGGACTACTTCAGAACTATATGGTAAAGATAAGTCAGAACTGACTTGATGGATATCTACAAGCATGAATTGCTATGCTACTGATGGGAGATCCACAAAGACCTCATACTTCCATGTAGGAATTTGTGTGTTCTCAATCCATTCCTGAGATATGAGTAGGTATGTCAGTTGTTAACAGGAAGTGCTTATAAAGCAGAAAGATGTGTTTCCTTCTTTACTATTATGTGAAAAAGCAACTCCTGCGTCCCTCCTCCCGCTGTGCATAGTCAGTCTGATGATACTACACTAATCTCATCTGTAGTAGGGATGAGCTGTAGAGAGGACTCTACCAAAGTGTGAAAAATATAGTCTCAAACATAACTCCCAGAAACACCTAATCTGCAGAGGCACATTGATTCTGAAGACGACATCTTTCATCATTATTTACTATTGGCTTTGGTGTGACATGATCTAGGAGGTGTCTATGGACAATGAAGACTCTTTAGCTTAGAAATGGAGATGAGCAGCACTCCTCAGAGCCAGAAGAGGAAGTCTGTACCTTTATGTGTGTTTTGTTGTTTCTAGGCATTGAATGTTCACCTTTGTGCTTGTGTATGCTGAAATCCACCCTGGGTCCCCTCAGGGAGATAGGGAGGAATACAAATAAAGATTATTATTATTATTATTATTATTATTATTATTATTATTATTATTTGAAACACCACAAGATGAGACACTCTGCTGGCTGTTGTCTTGGATCACATGTTGGACACTTCCCAAGTGTCTAGGACTGTGTGATGTATTGGCGAATAATGCGTGCAGATCCCAGTAAGGTGGCCTTTTGCAGCTGGCAGATGGTAATTTTGTCAGCACCGATTGTCTTTAAGTGCAGGCCAAGGTTTTTAGGCACTGCACCCAGTGTGCCTATCACCACTGGGACCACCTTTACTGGCTTATGCCACAGTCTTTGCAGTTCAATCTTTAAATCCTCATATCGTGTAATCTTTTCCAGTTGTTTCTCTTCAATCCTGCTGTCACCTGAGATTGCGACATTGACAATCAATACTTTATTTTTTTTAACACAATTGTGAGGTCAGGAGTATTGTGCTCCAAAACTCTGCCTGTCTGAATCCAGAAGTCCCATTTTCTGTAACTTTTTCCAGCTTGTGATCCCACCAGTTCTTTGTCGCAGGCAGATGGTGTTTGTGGCACAAGTTCCAATTAATCATCTGAGCAATGGTGTTATGCCTCTGCTTGTAGTCTGTCTGTGCAATCTTCTTGCAGCAGCTGAGGATGCAGAGTCTACACTTGGGATCTGTTGTCGACTTTTCAATTCTGGCTTTGATGGCATTGCTTCGAATGGCTTGTTCTTGGGCTGCCAGAATCAGAATCAGAATCATTTTGGTTATATACATCTTTGCCACTAGTAAGCCCATAAGATCATATGTATGTACATGTTTCACTGAAAATAAAAACAGTACCAGATAATATGAAAAGGATGAAAACAATGTAGTAGCAAGCTAGGGAATATTTCCAAAAGAACCCAAAGGCAAAAAAAGAGTGAGTTGTTGTAAGTTTGTTGGTCTGTATGGCTGTATGGCCATGTTTTGGAAGCATTCTCAAGGTGGCCAACTGAAACATTCACACCTACCTCCAACAGACAAGAGTTCTTTCTCCCACCCTGGACATCCCACAGATATATAAACCTCACTTGCCTAGTTTCCAACAGACTTCACAATGGATGCTTGCCATAGATGTGGACAAAACATCAGGAGGGAATGCTTCTGGAACATGGCCATACAGCCCAGAAAACTCACAGCAACCAAGTGATTCCAGCCATAAAAGCCTTTGATAACACAAATGAACTTCTATTTATGAAGGGGAGTGGAATACAAAGAAACTTTCCCACTGAAGGAAAGAAACAACATTTTCCACCAATTCTTCCTTCCAGATCAACTTCCCACACTATTCCCTCAATTGACCTCTGCAAACATAGATTAATTACTACAGGGTACATGGCTATACACCCCAAAAAACCTACAACAACAATATAAAAAAGAGTGAATTGCTTCCAGTTTCATAGATAATCATGGTCTACAAATAAAATAGCATTCTGAAGAAGAATTTTCTCCCCATATATGTCTAAATCACAAAAAAAACAAAACCCTCAAATTAGGACAATGCAACTTAAACTCTTAATGAGCCAGAAAACCCATACAGAAATAGAGACGCTGGTGCAAAGCTTGATATTTTCATGTCAATGGACTTGTCTGCACTTCCATGGAGCATGTGAAGTTTACATAGAGTGAATTAGCTTCCCTCACTAGCAAACCCGGCATGTTAAAAAATAGCACAAAACTATAAAAAATAGAAACTGGAACAAAAGTAGAGACTGGGGAAATAAAAAAAGACATCTCTGAGTGTATTTTGGAAGGAGCTTCCAAGTGATCTGTAGAAGACTTATATAAGGCATACCTGATCTGAATGCTTCATTTCACATGTGCATACCTAAGTATATAAAAAAGAGTGAAACATGTTAAACTGAACTTTTTTGTGGTTTAGGAATATATCTCTATTCCCTCTATATTATTTGTACATTTGGTACCAATTTTTCTGTTAAAGAAGTTATGTGCACTAGGTTTGTGTATTTCCGCTGAACCTTGATCTGTTTCTGTTGGCTGGATTCCGGTAGACCCCTATTTCCATTTTTGTGCCTCCTGAAAACGGGCAGGTAGCCAAATAGCCATTTTTGGTCCGTAGCCAAAAAATGCAGCTAGATCTGGCCAACTGGTGGAAATGGGGAACTTATAAGGCTCCCCTTTCAATTCATAGGACCCTTTCCTTTCTTCTCTCCAAGGGGGGCTGTGTTTGAAGAACAGGGTTAAGGAAGCACCCTTTCTGGGACCCTTTCCTTTTTTCCCTTTAGGGAGTCTGGGTTTCAGCAATGGGGTTAAGGAAGCAGACACAACTTGTGTAAGACTCGTCATAGCGTTCTTCAATTCCGATTGGCCCAAAAGGCAGGGCTCACAGGGAAACTCCATGCCAACAGCATATGGCAGCCTCTTTGCACACTACGTGATCCCAAATAAGGGAGGAGGAGCCATGATTGTCTGCCACATGTTCCCGTTACAGACAGAAATATATGGTAGCTCAGCCCTTGCCGTTATGTCCATCCAACCAAGCCAGATTGGCTGAAAGGAACCAACCACTTCAAATCCATACACAAGCCTAATACCAACCTACATTGTTAACTGAGGTATACCTATATAAGCAAGACCATTGTCTTTTTGTTGTTGTACTGTATGTTTATTCTATTTTCTTAATGCCCTTTGTATCATAAAGCATTGACAGCATGCTCATATCCCTGGCGGTCAAGCATTGTGAAATCAGAATACCCAATATAGTCAAAGTCTGGCCTCTATTGGTCATGGTTCTTCTACTCCAGCTGTGGTTCAAACAATTCCCCTCCCTTTTGCTCACAATAAGACCAAAATAGTAGCAACAGTTCCAGCACTGGTGTAACCTTTCTCTTGTGTTTGAGATGTAGACAAATACCAGGAAAGCATTGGATTCAGAGGATCCAAAGCTTCCTATTCTTCACTCGCACCCTATCCCATTCCCCTCTATTTGTCTCATCTCTAATATTGGAATGGGATGGGGATTTGAGATGAGAACTCTTTCTCTGGCCTCTGAAAAAAAAATCCAAAATTTACTATGTTGTTTGCAAGACTATTTCAGAGACCAGAGAACTGAATTGCTCGAACATTTTTAAACTTCCCAGGAACTCTATAAAACCATTTCTCTTCCTGCTTGTCCAGATTGCAACACTGATTATATAACTTGTCTTTCATTGATTGCACAAGTCTTGTGGAACGGCATTTACTTTCTGTGGCTTTGAATGAACCTAAGCTTTCATGTTGCTAAATATTGCTGATTCAGGAGGCTTTTGTCAGTTCTGATATGTTAAAAGGAAAGTGTCAGCTTAGTTTCGTTTTTAAAGAAAATCTTAGCTGTAAGCAAAACTACAAATACCAACTCAATTGCATAGTCAAGCCAAGGTTTGCACAATTCATTGGAAGTTTGTCATGTACAAAGCAAGTCTGTACATTCATTTCATTGTGCATAGAACTTCCCAGCACCTGCCATCAAATGAAAGGTGACATGCTCCTCTGTGCTTCGTTCTTTGTTATTTCATTTCTCTTCTTCAGCTTTTAGATTTTCATTCCAATTCTAAGTGTAAGTATTGCTAGTACAACTCCAGTCTTAAAGTCAAGATGCTTGAATTAAGGTTTTTTTTAGTTGGACTGTTATTTGCAAAAAAACATGTTCAGAATTGCAGAACTGATTTCCTGAGAAGCAACTTTGGTTGGCAGAATTTTCAATCAGGTTAACTATACATTTGGTCTTGTAGCCATGTAAAAAAAAAATACAACACTTGTTTTTGTTGTGATGAATTCGGCACAGAAACATCTCATAATCCAACATTAATTTGATTATTGGAGATTACCTTTTGGTCTCATAAAATGTGGAACATTATCTCCATACAAAACCACAGAGGCTGTACATTTGTGACACTGAAATATCTTTAATAATTCTTAAAAGCTGCACCTGTATCTTTCAATCAGGAGGCTGCATCTGATTGCTTAAGATTCAGGTGCAAAAGAAACAATTTGCTATTCAGAATGTTAATGGGATAATTAGAGATAACTTTTCACTTCTCTTATTATGGAATCATTGGCCTCCTTTTTAATACAGGATATGCTACTACACAGCTGTAGTAGGATTTTTTTCTACATTGCTACTTCTTACTTCCTGTAATATGGTATTACAGTCATGCTTCTAGCAAATGAGAATTGTGAGGCGAGGCATGGAAGAACAACTAAACTTGTTTATTTGTTTAGGCTGCAAGCAGAATGCAAGAAATGAAGTAAAAATGCAGACTGATCTGTTAGTTACATATTCCACCCTGATGCATCCAAACAAAATTCATTATCTAGAGGTGTAAGGGCTCTGGGTCAAAACACTGGAGTGATGTAATCATCTACCACTGCTCTTTAGCTTCCCTATTTCTTCTGAACTATTTATTTATTATTTATTATTTATTAACTGTCTTTATACCCCATCCTTCTCACCCCAAAGGGGACTCAGAGCAACCTTACAATAAGCAACCATTCGATGCCACATAAACAGACTTAAATAGAATAAACATATACATTAAAACATTAAATTAAAACATCTAAATATTAAAATCAATTATTAAAACCACATAATCAGAAAACCATTCTTGGCCCCTTCCACACAGCTGTAAAAAACCCCACATTGAATTGGATTATATGGCAGTGTGGACTCAGATAACCCAGTTCAAAGCTGCTATCGTGGGTTATCTGCCTTGATATTCTGGGTTATATGGCTGTGTGAAAAGGCCCTTAGTCACCCAAGGAAAAAGTGGAAGGAGCAAGTTCATATGAAATGAGAAACTGCAAATGCCTGGATAGAACTAGCCAATTACCATTCATGTTAGGCAGGGTATCTGAAGGAAAGGATGTAACCTAGGGTGAGTCTACATGAGTTGCTAAATCTGCAGCCACTCTAGAATAGAAATGCTGTGGATGAGCCCCAGAGGTGGCTACTAGGCCTGGGTAACAACGGAAAAAATTGTTTCTAAAATCGATTTGTATTTGGGGTTTTTTTTGTTTCGATATTTAAAATAATTACAAAATTTTCCTTTTAAAAAGTTCGATATTTACGAAATTTTGTAAATGGTAAAAAATTAACGAATCGATTTCCGAAACAATAACGAATCGATTCGTTAATGGCGGACGCGACCGCGAAATACGCTAAAAAACCTCCAAAACCTTCTGAAGCTTCCCTCTCCCTCTGTTGTTGACTGTTGGTGTGATATTATAATTTTTTTTCACTAATTAAACCATAAAACTGGCCCAGACATGCGGAAATAATAACGAAACGACCTCAAAACAATAACGAAACGAATACAATATCGAAATACGAAGCATTTACAAAACGTTTTTGAAAATTCGTTTTTTAATAATTGCTCCAGAATGGTTCGTTATCGTTTTGTAATTGAAAAAATTAACGAATTATTAACGAATTATGAATTAACGAAACGAAACCGCCCAGCCCTAGTGGCTACATGTACCTTGCCAAACCTGCTGCAATGCTATGTTGGTGTCTACATATTCCAGTGAGACTACATCAGCCCCACTGGACCTTCACCTCACCTTCTGTGTTGCTATTACTAGTCCTCACCAGACATAGAGCTCCATGTTAGCTCTTGGTCATTGTGCCACTCTGGCTGCATCAGAAACGTTCATGTGGCCAGGAAGAAGGAGGGGACCGATCCCTTACCTTCTTCTTGTGCTCGCATGCATCAAAAGAATATTAGGCAAAGTTTGATCAAAAGCTTTGATCAAAGCTTGCCTGATATGAGTCCTGGACTATGTTCCCATGTTACTTTCTCATACCCATATGCCTATGTATAAGCTACAAAGAGGACATGGGTTCAACAGCTTTTAGTCACTTGATCTTCTCAATAGTTGCACCAACAGAGGACTGACCAACATTTCTGGTGACTTGAAGCTACAACATGAAAAGTCAAACAAGCTGAGAGCCAATTAGTTAGAAAAGCAACATGGCAAACTTTTCGGTAGATAAGGCAGAATGGGACTACAGTAGATAAGGCAGAATGGGACTAGTGTCGTCTAAAATGTAAATGATGAGTTAGTTACTTACAATAAGAAAACTTCATGGCATCAGATAGAATCCAATTTACCCCCTGCTGCCACTGGACCCATTTAAACTGATAGCTACAATCATACTCTCTGGTGATTTGCAGTAGTGATATCAGAGTTTAGCAGACAGTGTTCTAATTGCTCCTTTGTCTGGCAACCTGCCACAGAAGTACACAAAGTTAAGCACTCCAGTCTCACTTCTATTGCCTTTGAAGTACATCGAGATCCTTAGGGTTTTGCATTGGCATTGCCACAATAATTGTATCCATTTATCCCACATACCCAATACAGAAACCAGGGTTTGCAGTCCTGCTCCCTTCAATCAAAACACTTAAACCAATTAACTTGTTTATGACATTGTGGTGATCAGAATATCTGCATTTTTGCTAGTTGTAAAACTTGGAGGAAGAATGACAGAGCTTCACAATTTAATTTGTGAACATTTAGCATTTTGCTTTTAATTCCTTTTTAGGATAGGGAATAAAAGGCGGACACTTAAAAGGTGCCATTACCTACAGTTCAGCCATTATTGCTTTCCCAGGCACTCTAAATTACAAACTTAATCTACCCTTTAAAGGAAAATAAATCTATTCTAAGGGAGAAGATAATATTTGGTGAGAGGATCCACACTCAACATTGGTTTATTTCACACTCAACCTTTGTTTATTTCAGTGATTCCCAAAGTGGGCGTTATCACCCCCTGGTGGGCGCTGCAGTGATCCGGGGGGCGGGGGCGGTAATGGCCACAGGTGCATTTGG